GTTGAGTAGACTTCAGGATGTACATGTTTATAGAGGGGCCACAGATATATCAGATCACTTTCTAGTTGTAGCTACACTGAGAGTAAAAGGTAGATGGGATACAAGGAGAATAGAAGCATCAGGGAAGAGAGAGGTGAAGGTTTATAAACTAAAAGAGAGGCAGTTAGGGTAAGATATAAACAGCTATTGGAGGATAGATGGGCTAATGAGAGCATAGGCAATGGGGTCGAAGAGGTATGGGGTAGGTTTAAAAATGTAGTGTTAGAGTGTTCAGCAGAAGTTTGTGGTTACAGGAAAGTGGGTGCAGGAGGGAAGAGGAGCGATTGGTGGAATGATGATGTAAAGAGAGTAGTAAGGGAGAAAAAGTTAGCATATGAGAAGTTTTTACAAAGTAGAAGTGATGCAAGGAGGGAAGAGTATATGGAGAAAAAGAGAGAAGTTAAGAGAGTGGTGAAGCAATGTAAAAAGAGAGCAAATGAGAGAGTGGGTGAGATGTTATCAACAAATTTTGTTGAAAATAAGAAAAAGTTTTGGAGTGAGATTAACAAGTTAAGAAAGCCTAGAGAACAAATGGATTTGTCAGTTAAAAATAGGAGAGGAGAGTTATTAAATGGAGAGTTAGAGGTATTGGGAAGATGGAAGGAATATTTTGAGGAATTGTTAAATGTTGATGAAGATAGGAAGCTGTGATTTCGTGTATAGGGCAAGGAGGAATAACATCTTGTAGGAGTGAGGAAGAGCCAGTTGTGAGTGTGGGGGAAGTTCGTGAGGCAGTAGGTAAAATGAAAGGGGTAAGGCAGCCGGGATTGATGGGATAAAGATAGAAATGTTAAAAGCAGGTGGGGATATAGTTTTGGAGTGGTTGGGGCAATTATTTAATAAATGTATGGAAGAGGGTAAGGTACCTAGGATTGGCAGAGAGCATGCATAGTTCCTTTGTATAAAGGCAAAGGGGATAAAAGAGAGTGCAAAATTATAGGGGGATAAGTCTGTTGAGTGTACCTCGTAAAGTGTATGGTAGAGTTTATAATTGAAAGAATTAAGAGTAAGACGGAGAATAGGATAGCAGATGAACAAGGGGGCTTTAGGAAAGGTAGGGGGTGTGTGGAACCCGGTGTTTACAGTGAAACATATAAGTGAACAGTATTTAGATAAGGCTAAAGAGGTCTTTGTGGCATTTATGGATTTGGAAAAGGCGTTATGACAGGGTGGATAGGGGGGCAATGTGGCAGATGTTGCAAGTGTATGGTGTAGGAGGTAGGTTACTGAAAGCAGTGAAGAGTTTTTACGAGGATAGTGAGGCTCAAGTTAGAGTATGTAGGAAAGAAGGAAATTTTTTCCAGTAAAAGTAGGCCTTAGACAAGGATGTGTGATGTCACCGTGGTTGTTTAATATATTTATAGATGGGGTTGTAAGAGAAGTAAATGCGAGGGTCTTGGCAAGAGGCGTGGAGTTAAAAGATAAAGAATCACACACAAAGTGGGAGTTGTCACAGCTGCTCTTTGCTGATGACACTGTGCTTAGGGAGATTCTGAAGAGAAGTTGCAGAGATTGGTGGATGAATTTGGTAGGTGTGCAAAGAAGAAAATTAAAGGTGAATACAGGAAAGAGTAAGGTTATGAGGATAACAAAAAGATTAGGTGATGAAAGATTGAATATCAGATTGGAGGGAGAGGAGTATGGAGGAGGTGAACGTTTTCAGATATTTGGGAGTGGAACGTGTCAGCGGATGGGTCTATGAAAGATGAGGAATCATAGAATTGATGGGGGGGAAAAAGGTGAGTGGTGCACTTAGGAGTCTGTGGAGACAAAGAAACTTTGTCCTTGGAGGCAAAAGGGGAATGTACCGAGAGTATAGTTTTACCAACGCTCTTATATGGGTGTGAAGCGTGGGTGATGAATGTTGCAGCGAGGAGAAGGCTGGAGGCAGTGGGATTGTCATGTCTGAGGGCAATGTGTGGTGTGAATATAATGCAGAGAATTCGTAGTTTGGAAGTTAGGAGGAGGTGCGGGATTACCAAAAACTGTTGTCCAGAGGGCTGAGGAAGGGTTGTTGAGGTGGTTCGGACATGTAGAGAGAATGGAGCAAAACAGAATGACTTCAAGAGTGTATCAGTCTGTAGTGGAAGGAAGGCGGGGTAGGGTCGGCCTAGGAAGGGTTGGAAGGGGGGGGGTTTAAGGAGGTTTTGTGTGCGAGGGGTTGGACTTCCAGCAGGCATGCGTGGGGCGTTTTTGATAGGAGTGAATGGAGACAAAGGGTTTTTTAAATACTTGACGTGCTGTTGGAGTGTGAGCAAAGTAACATTTATGAAGGGATTCAGGGAAACCGGCAGGCCGGACTTGAGTCCTGGAGATGGGAAGTACAGTGCCTGCACTCTGAAGGAGGGGTGTTAATGTTGCAGTTTAAAAACTGTAGTGTAAAGCACCCTTCTGGCAAGACAGTGATGGAGTGAATGATGGTGAAAGTTTTTCTTTTTCGGGCCACCCTGCCTTGGTGGGAATCGGCCGGTGTGATAATAAAAAATAAAAAAAAATACTTAGGTAAAGGTAAGGAACTTCTTGTTACATTTATGGATTTAGAAAAGGCATGTGGACTTCCAGCAAGCGTGCGTGAGTGTGTTAGATAGGAGTGAATGGAGACGAATGGTACTTGGGACCTGACGATATGTTGGAGTGTGAGTAGGGTAATATTTAGTGAAGGGATTCAGGGAAACCGGTTAATTTCATATAGTCGGACTTGAGTCCTGGAAATGGGAAGTACAATGCCTGCATTTTAAAGGAGGGTTTGGGATATTGGCAGTTTGGAGGAATATGTTGTGTATCTTTATACGTACATGCTTCTAAGCTGTTGTATTCTGAGCACCTCTGCAAAAACAGTGATAATGTGTGAGTGTGGTGAAAGTGTTGAATGATGATGAAAGTATTTTCTTTTTGGGGATTTTCTTTCTTTTTTGGGTCACCCTGCATCGGTGGGAGACGGCCGACTTGTTGAAAAAAAAAAAATGTGGAAGGGTGGATAGGGAAGCAATGTGACAGATGTTGCAACTCTGTGGAATAGGTAATAAATTACTAAATGTAGTAAAGAGCTTTTTATGCAGTCTGCTCACATTAGGGTGTACAAGGAGAGTGGGGATCTTTTTCCAATAAAAGTAGGCCTTAGGGATGTATGATGTCACCATAATTGTTTAACATATTTATAGATGGAGTTGCAAATAAAGGGAATGGTAGAGTGTTGAGGAGAGGTATGGGATTAAAAATAATGATCTTCTTTCAACAAACTGGCCATATCCCACTGAGGCAGAAAAACAAAAGTTTCTCTTTTTAACTTCAATAATGTTGTGCAAAAAAGGTATAAAATACCGACAATATGAAAGTTAAGACACATGTTCAACATCTGGATATCTTTATTGTAGACGTTTTGCCATCCAGTGGCTTTATCAATACAGATTCTAGGACATAATTAGAAGACAGTAGAACTATATACAAAAGATGAGGTAATCAATCCCTCAGTCTTGGAGTTAATGTTCACAGCATCGTGGTGGTGGACCTACTTCCACTTGGGAATTCCGCCTACCAGTGACTATGCCCTCGTCTGCTACACGTCCCTATCCACTGACACCTATATAACTGTCAGTCTCCTTGCCTTTGCTCCAGATTCTCCACCACCATGATGCTATGAACATTAACTCCAAGGCTGAGGGACTGATTACCTCATCTTTTGTATATAGTTCTACTGTCTTCTAATTATGTCCTAGAATCTGTATTGATAAAGCCACTGGATGGCGAAACATCTACAATAAAGATATCCAGATGTTGCACATGTGTCTTAACTTTCAACTTCAGTAATGTATATGGGAGAAGGGATTACTAGCTACTAGCTCCCGGCATTTAAGTCGCCTCCTACAACACGCATGGCTTATGGAGGAAGAATTCTGTTCTACTTCCCCATAGAGATGAAAGGAAATAAAAAAAAAAACTAGTAAGAAAATAGAAAAAAAACCCCAGAGGAGTGTGTATATATATGTTTGTACATGAATGTGTAGTGTGACCTAAGTGTAAGTAGAAGTAACAAGACATACCTGAAATCATGCATGTTTATGAGAGAAAAAAGACACCAGTAATCCTACCATCATGTAAAACAATTACAGGCTTCCATTTTACACTCACTTGGCAGGATGGCAGTACCTTCCTGGGCAGTTGCTGTCTACCAACCTACTACCTAGGAAAAGATAATGAAATTTAAATAAAATGAGAGTTGTCATAGTTGCTCTTTGCTAATGACACTATTCTTTTGGGAGATTCTAAAGAGAGTTGACAGAGGTTGGTTGATGAATTTGGGAGGGTATATTAAAAAAGGAAATTAAAAATGAACATAGGCAAGAGCAAGGTGATGTGTGTATCAAATTGAATATCAGATTGGAGGGAGGGAGGGAGTATGGAGGAAAGTAAATGTGTTCAAGTAGTATTCGGGAGTGGACCTGTCAGCAGATGGGTCTATGAAAGATGAGATAAAGACAATAAACAAGGGGGGGGGGAAGGTGGGTAGTGCTATGAGACATCTCTAGACACTAAAGAACCTTATCCATGGAGACAAAAAAAGGGGAGTGTACCAGTGTATAGTGGTACTAACAATGTTATATGGATGTGAATTATGTGTTGCAGTGAAGAGGAGGCTGGAGACAGTGGAGTTGTTGTGTTTGAGCTCATTGTGTGTAGTGAATATTATGCAGAGAACTATGAACATGGAAGGCAGAAAATGTGGGGGAAGGGGGTACCAGAAATGTAATGTAGAAGGCCAAGGAGCAGTTGTTGAAGTGGTTTGAGCATTTAGAGAGGGTGGAGCACAATAGGTTGACTAATAAGCTATATAAATCAGGAGTGGAAGGAAGGAGGGATAGGGGGTTATCCCAGGAAGGGTTGGAAGGGGGTAAAAAAGTGTGATCACATTAGATATGAGTAAATAGAGTGGAAGCAAGGTAACATGAAGGGATGCAGGGAAACTGATAGCAGGACTTGAATCCTGGAGATAGAAAGTACAGTGCCTGCATGCTGAAAGATGGGTGGGGACGTTGCAATTCAGAGGGCCATCTGAACTATGATGTCAGCACACCTCTGGCAAGACAGTGGTTGAATGAATGACAGTAAATATGCTTCTTCTTTTTCTGCATCACCCTTCCTCAGTGGGAGAAAGCTGATGCCAAAAAAAATAAATATGGAAAAGATAATATAATTTTTGAAATAAAGGACAATTATATAATAAAAGATTAATATAATAAAGGATAATCGCCATTGATATCATACTTAAACATCCTAATGAATTTTTTTTGTTTTAACACGTCGTCCGTCTCCCACCGAGGCAGGGCGACCCAAAAAGAAAGAAAAACCCAAAAAGAAAGGAAAAGCCTTCATCATTCAATACTTTTACCATTACTCATACATAATCACCGTCTTTGCAGATGCACTCGGATACAACAGTTTAGATGTCCCTCTAAACTGCCAGTATCCTAAACCCTAATGAATTTACCTAATGAATTTACCAGAATTATTTAATTTATTAAACAAAATGCAGCTCAAATTTCTACTCGTGTGTTTTTATACTGTAGGATACATTGAAAATCATTGCTGTAAATGTTTTGTCTCGTGCTTTAGTGTTTATGCAGATTAGAAAGTTATCTAACCATTTCTTTATAATTAAAAAAAAAAAGCACAGGTTGTAGTTATGACAAGCTTTTATTGGGATATTTCTCTCTGTAGAGCATTTTCAAGTTACGAATTCAAGTTGCACATAGAATTATATGTTTCTTCACTATTGTTGGGAGTACACCCATTGGATCCAACCTGTTTAATATTCTGTACTGCTTACTCTGACATATAGTTTTCTAAAACTTTATTATATTTCAGGTCTATAAGTTCCAGACTGAAAAATTTATCACCACCGACCTCTTAAATAATGCTAGGACAATTTTACATGTAAGAAGCACGATACAGAAGCTTATGAAAAAATGTGAAAACATAGCCAAAGATATGCAAAGCATCGTATCCAGAATTGTTAGTGGGGAGGAAGATGCAGGAATCAGCAAACAGCCCGACAGTCTTAATCCAGCGTAAGTTTATTAGAATATTTTTAATGAGCCTCCTAACATAACCATGAGGTTGAAGTTTTTTGGCTAATAGTTATAGATCTTTGGAATAAGACTGCTTATTGCAGTTGTAAGTGCATAAACAATGCAGTCTCTTGTGAACCAACTTTTCAAGTAATTTTTAGATGTAAACTGAGCAGGCTATTTCAGATGTAAACTGGACAAGTTATTTTCAGATGTAAACTGGACAAGTTATTTTCAGATGTACAGTGGAACCTCAAAAATCGAACTTAATCCGTTCCAGGAGCTAGTTCTAAATTCGAAAAGTCTGAAATTTGAAGCAATATTTCCCATAAGAAATAATGGAAATACAATTAATCCGCTTCAGAAACCCAAAAATATTCACACAAAAAATACATTTTATAGAGATTAATTACAGTTTTACATACAAATACTACAGTTTTTAATTATGTATAGTAATACATATAAAATAACATTTTTACTTACCTTTATTGAAGATTGGTGATGGCATCTGGAAGATAGGGAGGAGGAGAGAGGGAGTTGGGGTTAGTGTTTGGAAGGAGAATCCCCCTCCATGAGGACTTCAGGTAAAGCCCTCTCTGGGGTTACTTCCCTTCTCTGTCTTTTAATGCCACTAGGACAGCTTGAGAGTCACTGGACCCCTGTCTCACAAAATAACTGTCCACAGTCCTCTGTTTCTGGCGCCTTTTTAACATTTCCCTAAAATAGGACATGGTTCTGTCACTGAACTTGTTGTAAAGATGGCTTGTTTCAGCTTGCTCAGGGTGGTACTTCTGCACAAACATTTGGACATCATTCCACTTGGCACAAATCTCCTTAATCTTTGAAGAAGGCACCTCATCCACTCCCTATATTAACACCTTTCACAACATCAGCTTCCTTGATTTGTTCTTTCTTTGACAGGATAGAACCGATGGTCGACCTCTTTTTCCCATACATCCTGGCAAGCTCAACAAGTCTCGCACCACTCTCATACTTCTGTATTATTTCCTTCTTCACATCTATGGTGTTTCTCACTTTCTTTACCATAGGGTACCACTAGCAAGTTTCTTTGGGCCCATGGCAGCTTATTTCACAGTCCCACAAGCACTAAGCACAACGAAATAATCGTAAAATGCGTGAATGAGAGTGCAGGTTAGTGTTCACTCAAGCATAAACAAAGCTAGACTGCTCACGGCACCTGCGCGGGGACAAGGATTGAGCGGGCCGGCAGATGGGTCCCGTACCCGGCGGTCCAAAAATAGGGGCGCATTCAATAATAGGGGGACAGTTTGTCCGAAAAAAAGGTCCTATTTTCGAAATGTTCAATATGTGATACGTTTGATTTTTGAGGTTCCACTGTAAACTGGTTAAGTAATTTGCAGGTTAGATATGGAAAGAATGAAGAACTCAAAAGACATTGTATTGATACAAAACCCAAGAAAATATATCAACTTTTATTTTTTTTCCTTGCTAAACATTCATGTACATTTTGCTATAGGTCATGAAAATGGCCGAATAGAGTAGAGAATGGGGTTAGAGCTGTCTGCTATACCATCTAATCACATTTACCTTGACAGAATTAGAGTGAGCTAAACTATGATTACTGATTTGTTTTTGCTTCTTTTTATGAAAGGAGGCATGGACAAAAACAAGATTTGTTGTTCTCTCTGCTGATGCATAATGCCACTGGAAGCTTTAAAATTTTACGATGATTTAACCCTTTGAGGGTTTCGGACGTACTAGACGTCTTACCGCAGTGTTCTTGACTTACAGTACGTAATAAATTCAGGCGTTAAATCTCAGCGTGGAAAACTGGTAGGCCTCCAATGAAAGAATGGGTCTATGTGGTCAGTGTGCACGTATAAAAAAAATCCTGCGGCACACAGTGCATAATGAAAAAAAAATAACTTCAAACCGTTTTTTTGGCATAAAACAGCGACTTTGCACTGTATTTTCGTATTTATTGTTGTATTCTAGTTTTCTTGGTCTCATTTTATAGAATGGAATGCATATCACAGAAATTGAGATGATTTTCACTGGTTTTACAATGAAAAGTACTTGAAATTGAGCTCAAAGTAGCAGAAATGTTCGATTTTACCAAAGTTCAAAAGTAAACAAATCATGCCAAGCGTCCAATACACGTCAACTGGTGAGTCTAACATTCTTTTGCAAGTGCGCCAATATGATTTATACCATTTTTTACACTAATGCAGTAGTCTGCATAACAGTAAATCTTCTATTTTTTCGTGAGAATAAAAATTCGAAGTGGAAAGCAAAAGAATGTAAGAGGGGCCTTGAGACGTGACTAATGAACAGAAGAAATGTCATTTTAGTGCCAGGAATGTATTTCTTGTTTGTTCTGGACCCTATTCGGAAATTGGCATTTTTTGAAATTTGTGTGAAAATGGCAAAATTGGCTAAATTACTGACCACTGTATTGGTTAGTTGAAGAATGGTAATATGGATGGTTTCTTGCACTCATTCAATAGAAAAAATGTAGTTCTACTGCGAAATATTCATGTTTTTGTCGACTAGTAAGAGGAATTGGCCGAAAATGGGGCTCAAATTGGGCAAATCGCCGATGTGTAAACATCTGCCGAGAAGTAACTTCGCGAGGCTAACTATCGAAGTTTTCATAAATCTCATAATTTTGGTGTCATTATATCGGAAAGATCTCTATCTTTTAGAAAAAATTATTTTTTTTTTTTTAAATTGGCGACTGAGACATTTCTGAGAGGGCCTTAACCCTAAAGGGATTAAACATTGAAATAAGAACACAGCAAGCATATCTCTGTTCCTCTAATTACAGATATGTAATAATTTTTTTCCCAGGATGCAGTTGAAAAGCTACCAGCTGATTGGACTAAACTGGTTAGTGCTGATGCATGAGCAAGGGTTGAATGGTGTTTTGGCTGATGAGATGGGGCTTGGTAAGACAGTTCAGGCAATCTCATTCCTGTCTCACATCAAAGAAGTGGAGAATCCTGACGAACTTAGTCTTATTATTGTTCCATCATCTACATTAGGTAAGGTATTGATTACAAAGCTGTATTATTATTAGTAGACTCGCCAACCTTGTTTTAATTCATTTAATATTAGTTTGCTTCAGATTCTTCCTGGAGTTAAAATTTTATTTTGTATATTAGAAAAAGAACAGTCATGCTAGTTTTTAATAGAGATTTCCTTTCTAAGCTTCTACTGGCTGTCTTTTCTACTACTAATGTAAATTTAAATCACTTAGTAAAGGGTCTGTGCATGGTAATATTTTTGTCTTCTGAATATGGCTAACCCACTGTACAAACATTTTAAGAAACATGCTCATTAGGGCATGATATTCAGTGAAGACCAGCACTGTATGCCCTTGTGGGGCATACAATTATTCCATTCAATTTTATGTAAGAAATAAATTGGTTTTGGCAGAAAAAAATATAGTCCTACATTTACTTAAAAATTACTGTAGTGCAGAAGTTATTTGATGCCAAATATCTATCTGCATGTAACGTAACAAATGTAGATCATTATGCTGCATATGATGGTTAAAAACATAAATACCAGTGTTATCCTTGAAAATCATGATAATCAGAGGAAAGAGTAGTGTAATGTAATAGTAAGTCTTAAGTTTAGTGATTGTGAAGTTATATTTGGTAGATGGATTTTGGACACAATGAATGCTTGTAGATACTTGGGAGTGGATTTATCAGCAGATGAATCTGTGAAAAATGAAGTAACAGAACTGGTGCAGTACAGAAAATAGCAGTAATGGGCATATCTCAGAGTACATTACAGTACGATGACGAGTTCCTTGGGGCTCCCTTCTTAACTTAATAGGATATGTCTGTCAAAAAAAAATATTAATTGATCTTGAAGTTATACATTGTTTGGACATGTTTCAGACAATTGGGCTCGAGAGCTTGAGTTGTGGTGCCCTTCTCTTGAAGTTCTGCAGTATCATGGAACTCAGGATGAACGACGAGCAATTAGGTGTGGCATCATGAACAATAATTTAGAGGAAGAGCCAGATGTCATCCTAACCACGTATGATTTCTTTACTCTTGTTTGCTTGCTATTGTTGATACATATTGATGGGATTTTTGGTTTTGTGTGCTATAAGGCTTTCAAAATAACATACTAGAAAAAGGCAACCATAAAGGGAAATACAGTGGACCCCCGCATAACGATCACCTCCCAGTGCGACCAATTATGTAAGTGTATTTATGTAAGTGCGTTTGTACGTGTATGTTTGGGGTCTGAAATGGACTAATCTACTTCACAATATTCCTTATGGGAACAAATTTGGTCAGTACTGGCACCTGAACATACTTCTGGAATGAAAAAATATCGTTAACTGGGGGTCCACTGTACCTTCCACATGCAATTGTCATTGAAGCAAACAAATATAAAAACTGAATTTGTGATTGTTTGATTAGTTGCAAAGTCAAATTAGTTTTTGTTAAACTAATTTTTACCTTTTGGTCCAGTGTATAAAATCAAGTTTAATACTTCTTGAAATATATTTTGAGAGAGAAATAGACAGAAATAATAGCTCATATTTCAAATATACTGCTTTGGGAAAATTATTTTTTTCATTAACATGATAGGTTTGTAGTTGCAGTATAGCTTCGGTTTACAGTTACATAGATTGGAAAATGTTATTACCTCTTCTTTTATTCTCTCTAAGTTTTGATTCTGGGTTCCAGACACTTGACTTATGAAAAATTTTAAGGAATACATTTACATTATTATAAGTGGGTTAACTGTTGTATATTGTCTAGTTGGCTAGACTTTTGAGACTAACTTCCAAACATCAGATTTCCAAACAGTTCTGGCATATATAGGCATTTTTTTCTTTCTCCTATATTCCTAAACTTTGTTTCGTCTGCAATAAATATTCAGGTTTCCTTCACTTATGCAGATTTGCTGTTACATGATCTCTCATTGTCATCAGCAATTCTATTTAGTGAAAATTCCTGTTTTGTGAAATTGTTGATGGTCTGATTGAGTTTAGTACAATTGTCATGGGCCTGGAACTCATGTACTGCATAAAGGACCACTTACATTTGAGACTTGTATTACAGTATATAATGGTATCATATTGTAACTTTCAGTTATAACATGGTCAGCACTAGCACAGAGGACAAAGCTCTTTTCAAAAAACTAAGGTTCCATACTGTTGTTTTGGATGAGGCACATATGCTTAAAAATATGGCTTCTCAGCGTTATGAAAATCTCATGAAAATTAAGGTGAGAATACTATATTTTCTGTTTGTATTATATTTTAGTAGTATAATTTTTTTCTTCATAGGTAGTAGGTTGGTAGACAGCAACCGCCCAGGGAGGTACTACCGTCCTGCCAAGTGAGTGTAAAACGGAAGCTTGTAATTGTTTTACATGATGGTAGGATTGCTGGTGTCCATTTTTCTGTCTCATAAACATGCAAGATTTCAGGTATGTCTTGCTACTTCTACTTACACTTAGGTCACACTACACATACATGTACAAGCATATATACACACACCCCTCTGGGTTTTCTAATATTTTCTTACTAGTTCTTGTTCTTGTTGTTTATTTTCTCTTACCTCCATGGGAAAGTGGAACAGAATTCTTCCTCCGTAAGCCATGCGTGTTGTAGGAGGCAACTAAAATGCCGGGAGCAAGGGGCTAGTAACCTCTTCTCCTGTATATATTACTAAATGTAAAAGGAGAAACTTTCGTTTTTCCTTTTGGGCCACCCCGCCTCGGTGGGATACGGCCGGTGTGTTGAAAGAAAGAAGAATTTTTTTCTTTCTTTTTGGGTCACCCTGCCTCAGTGGGAAATGACTGACATGTTAAAAGAACAAAATTATAATTTGCTTTCAGCTCAGCAGTTTTACATACTCTGTGCTGCTGAGTATTTACTGTCAATACTGTTTTCATTACAGTATAGAAAAAACTGGTAATGTGATTATTTGGTTAATGCACTTAATGCAGTGACGTCTACTGGTACAACTAGACTTGAGTCCTGGAGGTGGGAAGTACAGTGCCTGCACTCTGAAGGAAGGGGTGGGGATATTTGCAGTTTTGAACTATAATATCGGCGCCCCCCCTGGCAAAACAGCGATGGCGAAATTGTTTCTTTCTTTTTTTTGGGTCACTCTGCCTTGGTGGGAGATGGCCAGTTTATTGAAAAAAAAAAAGTGTGGATGGAACATTGTACTAATAAACACCACTGCATTATGGGTATTTACCACTTGTTGGCATTGTTTTTTTTTTTCCAACAAGCCAGCCGTCTCCCACCGAGGCAGGGTGACCCAAAAAGAAAGAAAATCCCCAAAAAGAAAAATACTTTCATCATCATTCAATACTTTCACCTCACTCACACATAATCACTGTCTTGAGTTCTGGAAATGGGAAGTACAATGCCTGCACTTTAGAGGAGGGGTTTGGGATACTGGCAGTTTGGAGGGATATGTTGTGTATCTTTATACGTATATGCTTCTAAACTGTTGTATTCTGAGCACCTCTGCAAAAACAGTGATTATGTGTGAGGTGAAAGTGTTGAATGATGATGAAAGTATTTTCTTTTTGGGGATTTTCTTTCTTTTTGGGTCACCCTGCTTCGGTGGGAGACGGCCGACTTGTTAAAAAAAAAAAATGTCACCCTAACTTCCTCCTTCCATAGTTTATATAGTTTCACCTCTCTCTCTTATTTGCTGTTGCCATTTTCCTTTTGTCCCATCTACCTCTTACTCTAACTGTAGCTACAACTAAATAATGATCTGATATATCAGTTGCCCCTCTATAAACATGTACATCCTGAAGCCTACCCATCAACCTTTAATCCACCAATACGTAATCTAACAAACTACTTTCATTACATGCTATATCATACCTTGTATACTTATTTATCCTCTTTTTCATAAAATATGTATTACTTATTACCAAACCTCTTTCTACACATAGCTCAATTAAAGGCTCCCTGTTTTCATTTACCCCTGGTACCTCAAATTTACCCACTACTCTCTCCACAACATTTTTACCCACTTTAGCATTGAGATCCCAATTACAAATACTCTCTTACTTGGTTCAAAACTCCCCATGCACTTACTCAACATTTCCCAAAATCTCTCTCTCCTCTACACTTCTCTCTTCTCCAGGTGCATAAACACTTACTATAACCCACTTTCACATCCAACCTTTATTTTACTCCACATAATCCTTGAATTTATACATTTATAGTCCCTCTTTTCTGGCCATAACTTATCCTTCAACATTATTGCTACTCCTTCTTTAGCTCTCTCTATTTGAAACTCCTTACCTAATCCCATTTATTTCTCCTCACTGAAACTCTCCCACCCCTTTAGCTTTGTTTCACTTAAAACCAGGACATTCAGCTTCTTCTCATTCATAACATCCACAATCATCTCTATCTTATTATTCGCACAACATACATGCACATTCAAACATCCCACTTTGACGGCTTTCTTCTTTTTCTCTTTAGTAGGCTATACAAGAAAAGGGGTTACTAGCCCATTGTTCCCGGCATTTTAGTTGATTTTTACAACACGCATGGCTTACGGAGGAAAGATTCTTATTTCACTTCCCTATGGATATGAAATCAAAAGCAATAAGAGCAAGAACTATTCAGATAATATCAAAGAAAACCCAGATGAGTGTGTATACATAAACATGAACATGTATGTGTAGTGTGACCTAAGTGTGAGTAGAAGTAGCAAGACGTACCTGAAATCTTGCATGTTTATGAGACAGAAAAAAGACACCAGCAATTCTACTATCATATAAAACAAATACAGGCTTCCTATTTACACTCACTTGGTAGGACAGTAGTACCTCCCCAAATGGTTGCTGTCCCCTATAATTTTTACAGTCTCTTTTGTCCTCCTTCCCTTTGTATAAAGGAACTATACATGCTGTCTGCCAATCCCTAGGTACCTTCCCCTCTTTCATACATTTATTAACCCCTTAACTGTCCAAACGTAAATCTACGTTCTCTTGCCCAGCGCTCCTAATATTTTGGAAAATAAAAAAAATAATTTTTTTTTTCTAAATGAAGAGGACATTTTTTGACAAAGTGATGTAAAAAAAATCTAGAGTCAATACTTACCGAGATAAGGCAGGCACAAAGTCGGCACTTGTTACTTATCTGATGGCAACATGAAGTGCTGCCACTTGCAGGTGTGTTGCCAATATACCTTTTTATCTCATTTTTTTTTTAATTTATATAATTTTTGTGTTCTGATAATGACAATTTGTAGTAGTTCTTGTGATTTCATAGTTAATCTTTGTTCTGACACTAATATTAGGTACTGAAATAGTGCTCAAATAGTCACAAACACAGTGACAGGTGAACATTTTTACCTACCATAGTCACATACTATTGTTTAGAAATACAGTGGACCCCCGCTTAACGATCCCCTCCAAATGCGACCAATTATGTAAGTGTATTTATGTAAGTGCTTTTGTACATGTATGTTTGGGGGTCTGAAATGGACTAATCTACTTCACAATATTCCTTATGGGAAAAAATTCGGTCAGTACTGGCACCTGAACATACTACTGGAATGAAAAAAGTTCGTTAACCGGGGGTCCACTGTATATACATAGTATTTATAGGTCCCAGCAATGTTTTGGATACACAGAAGTATATATTAATAATAATAATAATAATATAATGTTCCCTTGAAGCTTGATGTAAGAGTGTATCACTTGTCGTATCTTATCTTTTCAATGCTGACAATGTTGAGCTTCGTCTTATCTAATCTTATCTCTCCGCTAATGACAGTGGTGACATTTGATGAGCCTTCACTTTATTTGTTTTCACTCTTACACTTAAACATGTCTGTCTGTCTCAAGGAGTTGCTCATGAACCATCTGGTATTACACACAATCACTATCTACAAGCACAGTATAGCACATTGTCTGGATTTTTTGGGTTATCCTATGTAATTTACACTATGTATAATTGTATTTACCTATGTGTTCCTGTGAGATAGAGACATAGATATAGACAGACGGAGATAGAGACAGCCAATCAGCCAGCCGCCAGCCAGCCAGCCTGCCAAAATTACAGTTCCAGACTTATTTCTTTTTACTTAGGGCATAAGTTATAGGACATTCTGGCAAGATGACACTTTCCTCTTAAAAGGGGAGTGTTAATACGACATAATATCAGTGAATCCTTGGTGTTTGCTGCGCTGTTTGCTCTAGATGGAGCTCAATTGAACTGGTGCTCCCACAAGGTACTAAATGGTCCCAGATTTTTTAATACAGCGCACACCGAGGGTTAAGACCCATTCTATGCTGACCAGGCATCTTAGGCCAATCGTGCCAAATTTGGAAGCAGGAAAAATAAAACGTAGATCTACATATGGAGCGCTAGCGGTAAGAACGTAGATCTACGTTTAGACAGTTAAGGGGTTAAACAAAAATACCAACCACTCCAACACTATATCCCCCCCTGCTTTTAACATTTCTGTCATGATCCCATCAGTTCCAGCTGCTTTACCCCCTTTCATTCTATGTAATGCCTCATGCACCTCCCCCACGCTCATATCCTGCTCTTCTTCGCTCCTAAAAGATGTTATACCTCCCTTGCCAGTGCATGAAATTACCGCCTCCCTCTCTTCATCGACATTTAAAAGTTCCTCAAAATATTTTCACCATCTACCCAATACCTCCAGTTCCCCATCACCTAACTCCCCTACTCTATTTTTAATTGTCAAAGTCAGCTGTTCCCTAGGCTTTCTTAACTTGTTTATCTTACTCCAAAATTTTTTATTAATTTTCAGCAAAATTTCTTGACAAGTGCCCCTCCCACTCTATCATCTGCTCTCCTTTTACACTCTCTCACCACTCTCTTCACCTTTCTTTTTCTCTCCATATACTCTGCTCTTCTTATAACACTTATGCTTTGTAAAAACCTCTCATAAGCTACATTTTTCTCTATCACACCCTTTACTTCATCATTCCACCAATCACTCCTCTTTCCTCCTGCCATTATTTAATATAATTATTGTTTGCTGACTGTGGCAACCTCTCTGGTATAATGGTTGATACCTCACTCACACATAATCACTGTTTTTGCAGAGGTGCTCAGAACACAACAGCTTAGAAGCATATACCTATAAAGATACACAAACATATCCCTCCAAACTGCTAATATCTCGAACCCTTCCTTTAGAGTGCAGGCATTGTACTTCCCATTTCCAGGACTCAAGTCCGGCTATATAAAGATAATAAAAATAATATAATAAGTTTGCAAAAGCATCATTTAAAAGTCCATATTATACTCTAAATTAGGTAGTTTGACATTTTATTTGAATCCTTCCTCTGTAAGCCATGCATGTTGTAAGAGGCAAGTCAAATGTCAGAAGCAAGGGGCTAGTAACCTCTTCTACTGTATAAATTTCTAAATGCAAAATGAAGAAAAACTTTAATTTCTTCTGTTTTGGATTATCCTGCCTTTGTGGAAGACAGCAGGTGTGTTAAAAAAATTTTTGTTACTCTTATTCTTAAACTACAGGAAAAGGTGTTTATAGAATCTGATACTTTACCATTGAATAACTTCATAAAAAATCTGTATACTGCAATAAATCTTTTGTTAATTTGAAATTTGAAAAAGGCCGCTTACATTCCTTAATTAAAATCTTTGTGTTTTTACTATACTTCCTTCAAAACTAATTTATCATTTTATCTGAACTTTAACATGGTGGATTGATTTGTGATGTCCATGTACTTTTGCTAGAAAATGATTGATGGTGAAAGTGTTTTCTTCTTTAAGTCACTTTTTCTTCATGAGAATCTGACAATGTGTTATAAGGAATTTACTGTACTGTATTTTGTTTTATTTTAATCACATTTACCTTCATTAATTTTCCTTCATACACATTATAAAATTAGCTTTTTGCTAAAAAAAAACACATTCATCAAATGCAAATCTCATTTAGCATAACAGTAAGAAGCTACTCACTTATATTTTCAATTCTACTTCCTTTCTCCAATATTCATAGTCATGAAGCTTTACCATCAGACTCACCCATACCTTACTCTCATATCCAAGCTCCCTTAGATACAAGATAAATTGTTTCCACATTTTCAAGCTTTAATTTTTTTTTTTTATTTGTCTTCACTTCACCTCTTCCAGTTTTTATTTTTTCTGTATTTTTAACTTTGCTGATTCCTTTTCTAATAATTTTGCGCAGAAGCACAAGTATTCTTTTGCAGTTACAGTATTTTTGTTTTTGCTCTGAACAGTGCACTGATTATGAATGAAAATTATATACAGTATATGTCAGGGGACACTGTGATTAGCTTATAAGATTATTTAAAATATTTTATTTTTTTCCTTTATCATAATACAGGCCCAGCGTCGTGTTTTGTTGACTGGTACTCCTCTACAAAATAACTTGGTGGAGCTTATGTCCATTCTTATCTTCGTAATGCCACAGTTGTTTGACAGTAAAAAAGAAGAATTAAAAAGAGTATTCTCCATGTTTCCAGTAAGTTTTCAATATTGGGAGAAATTTTTATAATATCTCTACCAAAATTGCTATTTTTAGGTAATTAGCTTTTATTTTTTTAAGCTTCGATACACTATCATTCTCTTCCATTTTCTAGATTATGTAAAAAAAATTGTCTTTCAGGGTGTTACGAAAGTTCCTAACATATGAACAAGTTGCACTCCAGGTGTTTTTAACTTATGAGTCCATATTATCATAAGGAAAATGAAAACAAATGATTGTCACTCGTGTTCATTGCTGAAAATTGGAATTCATTAAACGATTATTTATCATGCAGACCATATTGGTGAGTGTGGAGTATCATAACTTAGGGTGTTCACAAGGCAAGGACTCCTGTATTAGTTTACTTAAGCCAATGATGATTTGCCAATGGGACAGCAATTATTGTACTGTATACCTTTAGTGCTACTGAAGAAAACAGTTAGTTTATTTTCGTTCTGTGAATGTTACATGAAAGCAGTACTGTACCAAATTCTTTCTTTTTTTCTATTTTTGCCTATATAATTGGAGAGGGCTAGTTTAGTAAACCAATCCTTGATGTTTAAGTTATTGCTAAAATGAATGGTGTACACATTATTGATTATAAGTGGGAAAATATAACTTTTGAATTTTTTCTTTTAGTTCTTTATTATAAAGTTTTATTTATTACTTTTTTCAGAAATCGGATGGTGAGAGTAAAGGAAAGTTTGAACGAGAGAGGATTCAGCAAGCCAAACGTATAATGAAGCCCTTCTTCTTAAGAAGATTGAAATGTGATGTTTTAAAGGTACAGCCAAATTTTTGTCTTGTTCTCCACACTAATAAGCAAAGATTCAGAAGGTAATACTCTTCGAGATCAGTACCTAGATGTTGGTGAAAGGCTCTTGATTCAAGGAAGTACAGCCACCCTCTTGTATCACACTTGATTGCCTTAGTCCCAGGTGCTCCATAAAATCTAAGGGTTTAATGCTTCCCCACGATTCTTATTCTTCTTTCAACAAATCGGCCATATCCAAAAGTTTCTCATTTTAACTTTAGTAATGTATACAGGAGAAGGGGTTACTAGCCCCTTGCTCCTGGCATTTTAGTTGCCTCTTACGACACACATGGCTTACAGAGGAATTCTCTTCCACTTCCCCATGGAGATAAGAGGAAATAAACAAGAACAAGAACTAGTAAGAAAATAGAAGAAAACCCATAGGGTTATGTATATATATGCTTGTACATGCATGTGCAGCGTGACCTCAGTGTAAGTAGAAGCAGCAAGACGTACCTGAAATCTTGCATGTTTATGAGACAAAAAAAAGACACCAGCAATCCTACCATCATGTAAAACAATTACAGGCTTTCGTTTTACACTTGCTTGGCAGGACGGTAGTACCTCCCTGGGCGGTTTCTGTCTACCTAGGTTCCTACTACCTACTACCTAGGCTCCCCATGATTATAATAATAATAATGATTCTTTTCCACTTCTTTATCTCCATGAAGAAGTGGAGAAGAATCCTTCCTTCCATAAGCCATATATGTTGTAAAAGGCAACTAAAATATCAGGAGCAAGGGGCTAGTAACCCCTTTTGTATAAATTTCTTAATCTAAAAAGAATAACTTTCATGTCTTCTTTTTTGGGTCACCCTGCTTAGGTAGGAGATGGCCAATGTATTAACCCCTTGACTGTCGCAACCCCAAATTCTGAGGTGTCTCTTGGTGTCGCAGAATTTCCGAAAAAAAAATGATTTTTTCTAATGAAATGATACAGAATCTTTTCCTAATTGTAATGACACCATAAGAACGAAATTTGATGGAAAACTGACGGAATTACGCTCTCGCGAAGTTAGCAACCACTGCGATATTTACGAATTGGCGATTTCCCCCATTTTGAGCCCTATTTTCGGCTAATTCCATTGTTCTAGTCAACCAAACTCATAGCTGTTTCTTTAGAACTCCATGTTTTCTATTGATTGAGTACAAGAAACTCCTCATTTACTGATTTCAACTACCCAATAACGTGGTCAGAAATTTGCAATTTGGCCAATTTCACAAAAATTAAAAAAATATGACAATTTCAAAATAGGGTCCAGAATGAACAATGCAGACATTCCTGGCTCTAAAATAACATTTTCTTTGTTCATCAGTCATATCTCCAGGCCCCTCTGATATTACACTTGCTTTCTATTTTGAATTTTTATTCAAACAAAAAATAGAAGATTTACTGTTATGCAGACTACTGCAATATTGTAATAATTGTATAAATAATGTCAACTCATTCATGACTGCATATTAGAATGGCTACTTGGATATTTATTGGAAAATGAAATCATTTGTTTACTTTTGAACATCGGCAAAAATCAAACATTTCCCCTACTTTGAGCTCCATTTCAAGGTTCTTTTCATAGTAAAACCAATCAAAAATCACCTCTATTTCTATAATATGTTTTCCATTCTAACAAATGAGACCAAGAAAATGAGAACACAACCATAAATACTCTACAAAAATAGACCACAAATTCGGCATTTTAATTAAAAAAAACGGTTTGAGTTTTTTTTTTTCTCATTATGCACTGCGTGCTGCAGGATTTCTTTTATATGGTGCACACTGACCACACAGACCCATTCTCTCACATGTGGGCCTACCAGCTTTCTCCTGCTTGATTTGAAGCCGCTAGAATTTATGAGTATATATATACGTCAAAAATGGTGGCTCGTGAGAAGTATATATACGACCGAAACAATCAAAGGGTTAAAAAAATATTATTAATGAGAGAGTAATAACCTTATTCTCTCTGGTAAGGTCTCGCACAGGAACTCATCCTCATTTTTCAATTTGTTTTCTTTTTTATTAACCGAGATCAGTCTTTGAAAGTTTACTATTTACGAGAAATTCATTATGCAATATTAGATACTTTGCATTGTTAGTTTTCTCATGCTAAGGTCACTAGTTAAGTAACACCTTGCCTGTATTAAGCACATTTTTTTTAACACACATTTGTATTAAGCACATTTTACACCCCTGGTAGAGTGAACCTTTATGGTTAGACCACATTTTGTCCTAAATAATGATTTGTCATATCTGCATTATTGGATAGACTTAAAGAAGGCCTGTTTAAGGTGAAATTTCATTTGTTAAAAGGTAGTCTCAGCTACATGTTTTTTACAATAATAATTTGTTACCTGTTAGTCATTCACTACATACAAGCTCTTGCTGAAGACTTAGCTGCACTAATGAGAGAAACCTGGCAACTGTCTCAAGTCTTTTGATATCTTAGTGGCTTAAGGATATACAGTATTTAAGATATGTGAATATTTACATGTTCTGAGAGAAGAGGCAAAATAATTGAGTGTTTACTCTGAAATTCAGTTAAATTTGGTGGCAATGATTTTCACATTAGATGAAAATGAACAAAGACAACTGATTGACTCAACTTTTTACATGTTCCTCTTCCCCTCTCTCTGTTTTGGAATGCTGCTTCAGTATTGCTTAAATGAACAGTATTTCTGGCTTTGATGTTGAGCCTTTGGCTGAAATCAGTTTTACTGATAAGTGGGTTTCTCAATAGCTTTTGTTCCTGCAATATTTTCTTTCCCATCTAGGAAGCTTGGTGTTAAACTGGGCTACAGAGTTGATGATCCCTACAATCATCAACAAATAAAAAATACTGTGTACATATTTTAAATGCTTTCAAAATTTTTCATAAATCTAAAAAAAGATTTGTATTGTTCAAACAAAAGTGTTGTCACCAAGTAATATTATTTTTAAATATATCTTTTCAGGATTTACCAGCCAAACATGATGAAGTTATACGTGTTCCAATGTCAAAACGCCAGCAGGATATATACTCAGACACAGTGTCTGTGCTAAGTAAAAGAGCACAGCAGCATGAAGTAAGTTTTAATTTGACCATATTTTCTGATATCTCAAACTTAAATATATATTCTAGCTAACAAATAAACTACTCATATGCACTATAAATTGTATACATTATTTAAAAAAGTAATCAGATTAATAAATTTTTGGAGGATTTAGTAGGAAATATATTACTATATAGAAATATTTCAAAATATTATGAGCTCTGTGACCCTTCCAGGTTTAATACTTGCTTTTTAATATAATATGATAAAATTATTAATGTAACAAGATGAAAAAAGCATTTATATTCTCATGACTGTGTGTGTTTGTGTGTATGTGTGTGTGTGTGTACTCGCCTAATTGTACTCGCCTAATTGTGGTTGCAGGGGTCGAGACTCGGCTCCTGGCCCCGCCTCTTCGCTGATCGCTACTAGGTCCTCTCCCTCTCTGCTTCCTGAGCGTTGTCATACCTCTTCTTAAAACTATGTATGGTTCCTGCCTCCACTACTTCACTTGCTAGGCTATTCCACTTCCTGACGACTCTATGACTGAAGAAATACTTCTTAACGTCCCTATGACTCGTCTGAGTCATGACCCCTTGTTTCTGTGTCCCCTCTCTGGAACATCCTATCTCTGTCCACCTTGTCTATTCCCTGCAGTATCTTGTATGTCGTTATCTTGTCTCCCCTGACCCTTCTGTCCTTCAGTGTCATCAGTCCAATTTCCCTCAACCTTTCCTTGTACGACATTCCCCTGAGCTCTGGGACTAGCCTTGTTGCAAACCTTTGTACTTTCTCTAACTTCTTGACGTGCTTGACCAGGTGTGGGTTCCAGACTGGTGCTGCATACTCCAGTATGGGCCTAACATACACAGTGTACAGTGTGTTGAATGATTCCTTATTAAGGTATCGGAACGCTATTCTCAGGTTTGCCAGGCGCCCGTATGCTGCAGCAGTTATTTGGTTGATGTGTGCCTCCGGTGACGTGCTTGGTGTTATGGTCACCCCAAGGTCTTTCTCCCTGAGTGAGGTCTGTAGTCTTTGTCCACCTAGCCTATACTCTGTCTGCAGTCTTCTTTGCCCCTCCCCAATCTTCATGACTTTGCATTTGGCAGGGTTGAATTCGAGAAGCCAGTTTCTGGACCACATGTCCAGCCTGTCCAGGTCTCTTTGCAGTCCTGCCTCATCCTCATCCGATTTAATTCTTCTCATCAGCTTCACATCATCTGCGAATAGGGACACTTCAGAGTCTATTCCTTCCATCATGTCATTCGCATATATCAAAAATAGCACTGGTCCTAGAACTGACCCCTGTGGGACCCCGCTTGTCACAGGCGCCCACTGTGATACCTCTTCACGTAGCATGACTCGTTGTTGCCTCCCTGTCAGGTATTCCTTGATCCATTGCAGTGCCATCCCTGTTATATGTGCCTGATCCTCCAGCTTCTGCACTAATCTCTTGTGGGGAACTGTGTCAAAGGCCTTCCTGCAGTCTAGGAAAATGCAGTCAACCCACCCCTCTCTCTCGTGTCTTACTTCTGTTACCTTGTCATAAAATCCAGAAGGTTTGTGACACAGGATTTGCCTTCCATGAACCCATGCTGGTTTTCATTTATAATCTTGTTCCGTTCCAGGTGTTCCACCACTCTCCTCCTGATAATCTTCTCCATGACCTTGCACACAATACATGTCAGAGACACAGGTCTGTAGTTTAGTGCCTCATTTCTGTTTCCTTTCTTAAATATGGGGACTACATATGCTGTCTTCCATTTCTCAGGTAGTTGCCCAGTTTCAAGGGATGTGTTGAAGATTGTGGTTAGGGGCATGCACAGCATCTCTGCTCCTTCTCTAATCCCTCCTTACCTGTGCATACTCATTCCTGGCTCTGCGACTAATCTCCCTATTTTCATGTGTTCTCTGCTTTCTGTACTTTTCCATTCTCTATTGCACTTTGTTTTTGCCACCTTACACCGTTGGGTAAACCAGGGGCTCGTTCTGGTCTTCCCATTGTTTCTGTTCCCCTGGGGAATAAACCTATCCACTGCCTCCTTGCATTTTGTTGTTACATATTCCATCATTTCGTTTACTGGCTTTCCTGCCAGTTCTCTGTCCCAAGGAACCTCCTGCAGGAAGTTCCTCAACCCTATGTAGTCTCCTCTTTTATAGTCTGGCTTTTCCCATTCAACTCCTGTTACTCTCTCCACTTGCAACTCTACTATGTATTCAAAGCACAGAACCACGTGGTCACTAGCTTCTAGGAGACTCTCGTATGTGATGTCCTCAACGTCTGAACTGCCCAGGGTGAACACAAGGTCCAATCTTGCTGGTTCATCCTCCCCTCTCACTCTGGTAGTGTCCTTAACATGTTGGTGCATGAGGTTTTCCAGCACCACATCCAACATCTTGGCTCTCCAAGTTTTGGGACCCCCATGTGGCTCCAGGTTTTCCCAGTCAATCTCCCTGTGGTTGAAATCCACCATAACCAGCAACTTTGCTCTGCTGGAGTGAGTTCTTCTTGCCACCTCAGCAAGTGTGTCCACCATTGCTCTCTTCATATTCCTCTCTTGGCCTCAAGCAGTTCTGTGGTGGATTATACATCACTGCAATGACCACCTTGTGCTCCCCAGACTGAAGTGTATCTACTGTGTAGTCCCTTTCTCCTGTCTCGTCTATGCCTCCCATTTTCTCGAATTTCCATTGTTTTTTTACGAGCAGAGCAACCCCTCCTCCCCCTCTGCCCCTTCTATCTTTCCTCATGATCTGGTATCCTGGTGGGAAGATTGCATCTGTTATTGTCTCCGTGAGTTTTGTTTCTGTAACTGCTATGATGTCTGGGGACTTCTCATTGATTCTTTCTTGCCATTCCTCATATTTATTCGTAAATCCATCCGCATTTGTGTACCAAACCTTCAACTTCTGTTCTAATAATGTAACTGTGGTCCTGGGGGAATACTGGGGTTGGGAGAGCAGGAGCCCTGATGGGGGTCTGTGGGGGGTTGCAGTGGAGGTGGAGGAAGAGCTCCCATAGGGGGTTGCTGTAGGGGTAGGGTTCGTGGTGTGGGGGGTGGGAACAGAGGGATCGGTGTGTGATGGTTGGTTTGGATTGTTCAGTTGCCTTGGGGTGTCGTGGCTGGAGTCCTTCTGCAGGTGTTTCTGGGGGGTGTGCTTGTCCTTCCACCTGTTCCAGGGTTATTCTGCTCTCCTTTTTCATTTTCCAGTGCATGAAATTCCCTTTCTTTGTTAACATTTAAAAGTTCCTCAAAATATTTTTGCCATCTACCCAAAATCTCCATCTCCCCATCTGCTAACTCCCCTATCTGTTTTTAACTGACAAATCCATTCATTCTCTAGGCTTTCTTAACTTGTTTAACTAGCTCCAAAAATTTTTCTTATTTTCATTAAAATTTCTTGACAGTGCCTCTCCCACTCTATCATCTGCTCTCCTATTGCACTCTCTCACCACTCTCTTCACCTTTCTTTTACTCTCCATATACTCTACTCTTCTTATAACACTTCTGCTTTGTAAAAACCTCTCATAAGCTAACTTTTTCTCTTTTATCACACCCTTTACTTCTTCATTCCACCAATCACTCCTCTTTCCTCCTGCACCCACCCTCCTATAACCACAAACTTCTGCCCCACATTCTAATACTGCATTTTTAAAACTCTTCCAACCCTCTTCAACCTCCCTACTACTCATACTTGTACCAGCCCACCTTTCTGCCAATAGTTGCTTAGATCTCACCCAAACTTCCTCCTCCCTTAGTTTATATACTTTCACCTCCCTCTTCCTTGTTGTTGCCATTTTCCTCGTTTCCCATCTACCTCTTACTCTAACTGTAGCTACAACTAAATAATGATTCGATATATCAGTTGCCCCTCTATAAACGTGTACATCCTGGAGCCTACCCATCAACCTTTTATTAACCAATACATAACCTAACAAACTACTTTCATTATGTGCTGTATCATGCCTTGTATATCAATTTATCCTCTTCTTCATAAAATATGTATTACTTATTACCAAACCTCTTTCTACACATAGCTCAATTAAAGGCTCCCCATTTTCATTTACCCCTGGCACCCAAAATTTTCCTACTAATCCCTCCACAACATTTTTGCCCACTTTAGCACTGAAATCCCCAACCACCATTACTCTCACACTTGGTTCAAAACTCCCCACACATTCACTCAACATTTCCCAAAATCTCTGTCTCTCCTCTACACTTCTCTCTTCTCAAGGTGCATATATGCTTACTATAACCCACTTTTCACATCCAACCTTTACTTTACTCCACATAATCCTTGAATTAATACATTTATAGTCCCTCTTTTCCTGCCATAACTTATCCTTCAACATTATTGCTAGTCCTTCTTTAGCTCTAACTCTATTTGAAACCCCTGTCATAATCCCATTTATTCCTCTCCACTGAAACTTTCCCACCCCCTTCAGCTTTGTTTCACTTAAAGCCAGGACATCCAGCTTCTTCTCATTCATAACATCCACAATCATCTCTCTCTTATCATTTGCACAACATCCACACACATTCAGATTTCCCACTTTGACAATTTTCTTCTTATTCTTTTTAGTAATTATTACAGGAAAAGGGGTTACTAGCCTATTGTTCCCGGCATTTTAGTTGACTTTTACAACACGCATTGCTTATGGAGGAAAGATTCTTATTCCACTTCCCCATGGATATAAAAGGAAAAGTAATAAGACCAAGAACTATTAAGAATGTAACTTAAAAATAAATAATTAACATTCATAAAAGTCTGCTCTTCATGTGGAATTAGGTAACAGCCAAACTTTCAAGAAGTTTGTGTACACGACTTTCAATTTTTTGCTGTTGGAAGAGGAAAACAAGGATTTTTGTTGTTGCTGCTTTTTTGTTGGAAAAGAAGTAAAGTTGAAAAATTAATAGATAGAAGTACAGTATTTATATCGTTATATATGCAATTAACCACTGACATCATTTTTTTTAGTTAGAGCTGGAGCAGCTAGATTTAAAAGAGCTAACAGAAGTAGATGATCTGGAGGGTACCAGAACTACAGTAAAGAACAAGGACAGGGATGGCAGTAGCAACATGGTGACAACTCTTCGCAAGATAGCCAACCATCCCTTATTAATAAGGTTAGTACAAGTAATGTAGGGAACTAATGTCCATATAGGCAACTGGGAGAGCACCAGACAAGCCTGGCCTAAGGTTGCCTCTGGGAGTACAAAAACTCTTGGAACTCATCAGTGGTATTGAAGGTATATGCATACACACATCCTAATGGAAATTTAATAAGTCTACCTGTCGGTTTGTTTAAGAAAATTAAGTCAGGTGTGTCTGAGAGAAAAAAAATTAAAGGAATACCAATATAGTTGAACAAACAATTGTGATGAGCAAAGAAGTGATGTAAATATTTACATTCAAGAATAGTGAGACTTTAAGTGTATGTGTAGGAAGTTTTGAGATAAGTGAGAAAATATTTTTCAGAGACCTTAATGCTGAAATGGGAAACACTGGAATGTCAAGTGTAAATGATAATGGTGATATGTAATTGAATTGTGCTTAGAAAGAATTTGGTACAAGGCAATACATTTTTCAAGAAGAGGACATATTAGTATACGAATGAGGGTAGGTGTATATATAATACAGGTTGACCGTCACTAATTCAGCACCATCGGAACCTGTAGGGTGCTGCATTAGTGATTTTGCTGGATTACAGATTGGTTAGGTTAGAATACACTTGACCCAATGGCGATATTTACTCATCGGTGATTTCACCCACTTTACACCCTACTTTTGGCACATTCCATTGTTCCAGTCTACCAAACTCATAGCTATTTTGCTAGTACTCCTTCTATTCTGTTGACTGAGTACAAGAAACCACCCATTTACCTATTTCAACTACCCAGTAAAGTGGTCAGAAAACGGTAATTTGGCCAATTTCACGCAAATTTCAAGAGGTGCTAATTTCAAAATAGGGTCCAGAATAAACAGTGCAGACATTCCTGGCACTAGAATAACATTTTCTCTGTTCATTACTCATGTCTCCAGGCCCCTCTTATATTATGCTTACTTTCCATTTTGAATTTTTATTCACACAAAAAATAGAAGATTTACTGTTACATAGACTACTGCATTATTGTAATAAATGTATAAAGAATGTCAAGCCATTCATGACTGCGTATTAGACTGGCCAGTTGGACATGTATTAGAGAGTGACATCATTTGCTTACTCTTGAACATTGGCAAAAATCAAACATTTCTGCTAGTTTGAGCTCAATTTCAAGGTACTTTCTGTCGTGAAACCAATCAAAATCATATATATTTCTGTAATATATCTTCCATTCTATCAAATGAGATTAAAAAAAAAGAGAATGCGACTATAAAAACCATACGAGAGTACACCGCAAACTCGATTTTACACCTTAAACACTAGCAGTTTTGTTCTCATTATGCACTGCGTGCTGCAGGATTTTTTTTATATTGTGCACACTTACCACACAGACCTATTCTCTCATATGTAGGCCCAAATTTACCGGTCACAGCTTTTCTGAGTGAGCTGAGCTCATGGCAACCAACACTGGCTTCAAAGCCACCTTATCTTTTATGGACAATGTACGGTGTATGTGCTTTACACAATAAGAAGCATTTCTTTTATTTGTTGGAACCATGGCCAGGGCTAAAAGTGAGCAGATTATAACAATAAATGGAAAAAAAGAAATTGGAAAGACTTACCCAGCAAGTAGCATCACTAAATAGTAGTGGCAGGTTGGTGTGATGACTCCGGAAATTTAAAAATATGCTAGCCAAAATTACTGGTGGAACTGGATTACTGATAGCCGACCTGTACTGTGTATTGAATGTATGTATCTTCATTTAAAGTTCAATATCTTTTCTACTGTGATCAACATTGTGTAATCAACCTAATGTGTCTTAACACCACTGCACAATGATGTAAAATGGAAGCTTCTCGTCAGTGAAGTAACTGGAGCTGCCCGCATCTTGGATGAAACTTGATTGCCTCTTATTCCTCAGGCATTGTATAACCTCTACAGGTTTAGTGCTTCCACATAATTATCGTAATAATCTACTTCATGTTCAGTATCCAACCCAGAATAAATGGTATTTATAATGACCCCCCTATCTTCAGTAGAAAACCTGTTCTTATCAAACGATCCAAAGACTAATTTGAGGAGTATTATATACTATTTTATTGAATTAGTGATTAATTTTATGCTTGTCATGTAAATACCACTGCTTTCTTTCAGAAAATATTATGATGATGGTAAGGTAAAGGAGATAGCCAAGATTCTAAAGAAAACCACTCATCGTGAGTCCGTATTACAGTACATTGTGGAGGATATCGCCGTCATGTCAGATTTTGAAATACATACTACTTGTGGCATCTATCATGTGAGGCTCTCCCTTTTTTTTTTTAAGATTTTATCACTGTTCATGTGAATTATTCTTTGCAAGGATGATTTGAATTGTGATGTCTGTGAACTTCTGGTAAGACAGTTATTGAATGATCAGTGGTGAATGCGTTTCTTTTTTGAGTCTTCCCCACCTAGTGGGATATGCCCAATGTAAAAAATAAATATTGCAAGTGTACTTGTAAGAAAATAAGAAATGTCATTTAATTCACCAAACAAGCTTGACCCAGGGCTGGGCTGCAGAAATAGGGAAACTCATAAACCTGTCAAAAGTATATTAATCATATGTCATTGTTTCAATTTCACTCTGTTAGTGAAGAGGACCTCAGTTAGAAGTCAAAATGTACAGCAACCTCTTTATTTCTTGTTTAATTTATATCTTTTTAAAAGAGACACTTATGCAGTGTTAAGTAGCTTTAGTGTGAGAATGTTTCACCCACCAGAGCCTTCATTAATCCTTAAACTCTCCAAACGTAGATCTACGTTCACTTGCGCAGCGCTCCAAATATTTTGAAAAAAAAAAAAAATTTTTTTAAAGAGAACAATTTTCTGTGTGTTATAAGACCAAAAAAATTTTTTAGGACCAGTATGTACTGAGATACAAGACTGCGAAGTTGGTGCTGGATGCTCACCTGACGGCAACATAGAGTCCTGCCGCTTGCAGAAGTGTTGCCAATATACCTTTTTTTCTCATTTTTATTTTAATTTATATAATTTTTATGTTCTGATAATTACAATTTATAATAGTTCTTGTGATTTCATAGCCAATCTTTGTTCTGACACTAATATTAAGTACTGAAATAGTACTCAAATAGTCACAATCACATTGACAGGTGTGCATTTTCACCTGCCTTGGTCACTTACTATTGTCTAGAAATATGTACAAAATATTTATAGGTCTCAGCATGGTGTTTATGATGAGTGTCACTAAACGGCTGACAGGGTAAGCTGTCTAGCTCTGCTTATCTGTCTTTTTGTCTGCCTGTGTATCTGTCTGTCTTTCTGTCTTCCTGTGTGTGTCTGTCTTTCTGTCTGCCTGTGTGTCTGTCTTTTTGTCTGCCTGTGTGTCTCGGTCTTTCTATCTGCCTGTGTGCCTTGGTCTTTATGTCTGCCTGTGTGTGTGTGTGTGTGTGTGTGTGTGTGTGTGTGTGTGGTGTGTGTGTGTGTGTGTGTGTGTGTCTGTGTGTCTGTGTCTGTCTGTGTGTCTGTGTCTGTCTGTCTTTGTCTGCCTGTGTATCTCAGTCTTTCTGTCTGCCTGTGTGTGCGTCTTTCCGTCTGCTTGTCTCTCAGTCTTAGAGAGCGGCTCATCAACCAACAGGTATTACACATGATGCAGTAGCCACTTCTGATTCCTGATGAAATGAAAATGCTTATTACTTGCCACTGAGTTGCCAGTCATGCTTATAGTCTTATATCTACAAGCACTCTATAGAACTTTGCCTGGAATTTTGGAGTTATCCTAGGTAATTTACACTATGTATAATAACTGTATGTAGGTGTACATGTGAGAGAGAGACAGATAGACAAAGATATAGACAGACAGAGATATAGACAGAATGCCAGAGATATACACAGATACAGAGATATAGACAAATAGACAAAGATACAGACAGACAGACAGAGAGACAGCCAGTGGTATAAAAAATGAAAGGATGTTGCACAAATGTTACACATGGGTTATTATCGAAGTTTTGATATTTCCTCGAACACTTGTGACCTCATCCATCACTTTCCTCTTAAAAATGTCGTGTTAATACGACATGACATCAGTGAATCACTGGTGTTTGCCACGCTATTTGCTCTACCTGGCTATCAATTGAACTGGTGCTCCCACAAGGTACTAAGTGGTCCCATATTTTTTTAATGCTGTGCACACTGAGTGTTAAGACCCATTCTATACTGACCAGGCAATCTCAGGTCAATTATGCCAAATTTGGAGGCAGGAAAAATAAAACATAGATCTACGTTTGGAGCACTAGCAGTACAATCGTAGAAATACGTTTGGACAGTTTAAGGGTTAATTCATTACAGACAATAAAACAAGGAAATGTGTGGTAGTAGTATGGAGGTAAATTTTAGTGTAGACAGACTGCACATAATTGTTAATGGCATCACTTAACAGCTGGGTCCTAATGATCTAAAATCAGTTTAGCCAAAACACTGGAGATATTAAAGCTTCCTGTGTTCTGCACAGCTGCATATTCTCAACAATGGCATTTATGTAAATCTTCCTTGATTATAAGTTTGGCATCATTCTACCTCCTCAAGTGATTGTTGTTATTCCTGTGAATAACACAGGCATTATTTACACTGTCATTACCGTAGGCATATTGATGCTTATTGGAACAGATTTGCTCTGTCTCCCATATATATTTTTTTTTAGCTAACATTCTAGGAAGTCTGTCTTCATCCTTTTTTCTTAGCAATTTTTTTTCCATTGCACTGGCTGTTTCTCACCAAAGTAGGTTGACTCAAAGAAGATGTATTCACCATCATTCATTCAACAGCTGTCATTCTGCCAGTAGTACTCAGGCTTCATGATTCAAATGACCCTCTGAACTACAACATTTATCTATGGGTATCCCATTTGATGAGTGAGAGACTGAATGAATGGGCTGTTAGTGGTGGTTGGCTAGGTCATACAAATGGGATGATTTGGGATGTAGTGTGGGTTGGGATCTTTCTTTCAACACACCGGCCGTATCCGACCGAGGCGGGGTGGCCCAAAAGGAAAAACGAAAGTTTCTCCTTTTACATTTAGTAATATATACAGGAGAAGGGGTTACTAGCCCCTTGCTCCCGGCATTTTAGTCGCCTCTTACAACACGCATGGCTTACGGAGGAAGAATTCTGTTCCACTTCCCCATGGAGGTAAGAGGAAATAAACAAGAACAAGAACTAGAAAGAAAATAGAAGAAAACCCAAAGGGGTGTGTATATATATGCTTGTACATGTATGTGTAGTGTGACCTAAGTGTAAGTAGAAGTAGCAAGACATACCTGAAATCTTGCATGTGTATGAGACAGAAAAAAGAAGACACCAGCAATCCTACCATCGTGTAAAACAATTACAGGCTTCAGTTTTACACTCACTTGGCAGGACGGTAGTACCTCCCTGGGCGGTTGCTGTCTACCAACCTACTACCTACTGTGGGTTGGGATATGGTGTAGATATGAATACTGATGGGATGTAGGTTGAAGTTTTTAGGGACTGTGCTTAGCTTATGGGGAGGTAGGTAGAGGGGGCTTTTTTTCAGTGCATACATGGATGGCGGAGGCTTTGTTGAGTGAGGGGAGGGCAGTTAAAGGTGGGGGAAGAATGATTGTAGGCCAAGTGGACTTGGATAGGGAGGGGTGTGAATGGCAGTAAGGAAAGATGAGATTTTATTCTTAATGTAGGGGGCTGCATATGTGTGTGTATACAATTTGAGGAGTTAAGTGAATGAGAACTTTCTGTGACAAGTCATCCAGATGAATAATGTGAATTAGGCATAAGATATTTAAATGATACAGAAGAAACCTCATTTTCCTTTCACAACTCTTTTTCAACAAAATTAGATTCATCATCTGTGTGCTGGTACCCAACTCTCTGTTAATTACATAGTGATAACAAAATCTAGCAATGTTTCCCTGTCTTATTCCATTATACAAGATGTATTTCACACTTATTATGAATTAGGAATAAGAAGGGTTCATTTGAACTTGAACTTACTTTTATTTTTTCTCAGTCCATCAAGACTCACCGTCTGCCAGATGAGATGATTCTTGACTCTGGAAAATTTCAGCAACTAGACATTCTACTACCAAAACTAAAGGAAGAAGGTATGAGATATATTATATAACCATCATTGTTTAATTAACACTTTCACCAAATTTAAAATTATATCAGAAAATACATTATGATCATTTGGACACTTAACGTTTTATCCCGGGAATGTCATAATCTCAGCCTGCAGTAAATGTGTTTTAGGTCTACGGCCATTAGGTCATCAACATTTAATTCTGTATAATAATAACCTTCGGTATGCTTTACAAAATGTGCCAATCACTTAGTGAATGTGTATTTCACATACAGAATTACCACTTGCAATGGAGCATCACATTATAGTGAATTTACATGAAGTGAGGGGATTCCTGTATTTGTTTCCAGATCACTTGGGTAATCAGTGGCCACATTGATTTTGTGCTCACACGTACTTATGTATACTAGACATTGCTGATAGTATAGTTGAATCCAACATCTTAACTAGAGTAAAAAAAATTTTTTAAACAATATAGTATTTTTCCTCTATAAAAAGTAATGAAAACTTCTGACAAAAAACTTTGAGTTCATTTGTACTAGAAATCTTCTAGAAAAAAGTGCCAGATCAGTCAGGTTGTGATGTCTCTTGGTCTACCAACCTGTTGTTGCCAGCAGTCTAGTAGACCAAGTAGTCTACAATGAAGTCTTTCTTCCAGGCTGAGCTTTGAGAGTAGGAAGACTGAAAACCTAGTTGCAGGTGTGTCTCAGGTGCATGAGAAAGATTTAATCAGGCATTGTTATTGTGTCATTATATTAATAGTATACCAGACCAACAAGTGGATGAGTAACACGTGCAGCAGTTGAGAATCTTTATTTTCACCTGCAGAATGATCAAAACGTATAAGAAATAAAGATACCCAGCTGTTGCACAATTGTCTTAGTGTTAAAGTAAAAAATACAAACACTGCAGATTTTTGACACAATAGTTATAGTTTGTGTTAAAAAAAGAAAAAGTGTATACAGTGGAACCTCGGTATGCAACCTTAATTCATTCCAGAAGGCTGTTCGAGTGCTGCTCTGTTTGAGTATTGAACAAGTTCTTCCCAACCAATTTTCTGTTTGATTGACTGTTATCACTAATCTTCATAGGCCCCATGGTGACTTATTTATACAAATGATACAAAAAAAAAAAAATGTGAAGAAACATGAAATAGCTTACAGTGAAGTTCTGGCAGGTTGTATTTGTTTGGTCATGTGCTGAGGTTTGTTCAAGTAGGGAGCTGGTCGTATACCAAGGTTCCACTGTATATTGATGTAGAATGAAAGCTACAGTACTGTGGCTGGAACAATTTACAGCCATCCCACAGTTTGGAAAGGAACCTTTAGACCATTATCAAATCATGACTAAATAATAATAGTTCAGGATGTATCTCAACGGTGTCTCAAATTTGCTCTCCAAATTGTGGATTAGTTGTGAATATATTTTTGTATATGTCAGTTTGTATGCACAGCCTTGCATATTTATGTAGAAAAATAATAAATAAATAATTTACAGGTTCCCGTGTATTGATATTCTCTCAATTTGTGATACTTCTCAATATCCTAGAGCAATACATTATTCTTCGAGGCCACAAATACCTTAGATTTGATGGTACAACGTTAGTAACTGAGAGGTAAGTTGTCATTTTTTATCATTGAATGCAAATACTTGGACTGTTGAAGATTATTTATTTGGTTACATATTTGATAATATATTTGAGTAAGGTTGATAAATAATGAAAGGGCTGTGGTATGCATTTTTTGTGTACTTAAGATCTTTTCTTTAATGAGTTATCCCAGCAAGAACTTTAGAGAAGAGGTGGACATATTACAGCTCATGTTCCTCATCTAGCTCTTCAAATTATTCTAGCTGTCCCACAGTTTCATTTGCCATTTTGCCCACAGAGGTCAGGGGCTCTAGAATGCACCACCTTCCCCTTTCCCATTCAGATATTTCTGTATCTATGAATTAAGGTTTCTGTGATCTCATGATACACCTCCCTCACTAATACTGAGGTCTATTGCCTGAATGATGATTTATAATTTGTGTTTTAATCTGATATCCTTAAAAAAAAAAATCCTTATTAGCACATCATATGTAAATAAATGGATGCTCATATACATGAACTGCACTGTATATTTTTTTGTTCTTTCCATAGACAAGACTTGATTGATCAGTTCACAGAGGAAGAAGTCATCTTTGTGTTTCTTCTATCAACACGAGCAGGTGGTCTTGTATTAATCTCACAGCTGCGAATACAGTTATTATTACGACATAGATTTCAAACCCTTATAATGATTAAGGGCAAGCTGAAGATAGATGCCCTAGGTTGGAGACTAGGTAGATTTTTGCTCTTTGTATAAGGAATTATTGGTACTGGGTTGTTGTTATTATTATTATTATATTAATTATTATTTTTTTAATACTGGCTGTATCCCATGAGGTATGGTGACCAAACAGAAACTTTCACATCATCCACCATATCAGTGATTTGCAGAGAATGTAGATTATAGTAGTTCACATGTCCCTCCTACACAGCAAATATCTCCATTCCTCTCTGAGTGTAGGCTCTGTATTTCCACTTCCAGGACTCGGTCTGGCGAAACTGCTCTCATGAATCCCTTCACAAAATATTACCTGCGTTACACTTCCAACAGCTTGTCAGAGCTCTGAATAAAAACATTTGCCTCCACTCACTCCAATTTAACATGTCACTCAGCTGCTTGATGTCAACCTTTTGCACACAAAACCTTTTTTACCCCCTCCCTCCTCCTTACCTAGGACGACCCCTACCCCACCTTCTCTCACTACAGATTCATACACCCTCCAGTTATCATATTTTGTTCCATTCTTTCTAAATAACCCAAACCACCTCAAGAACCTTCTTCAGCCCTCCCAAGTCTTAAAACACAAATTCCTCAAGAATATATACATAATACACTGCCCTCAGACACAACTTTCCACTGCCTCCAAACTCTCTTGTTGCAATCATTCACAAATAATCATGTTACACCTATAAGAGTGTTGGAACGGCAGGATTATATTTATACTTACCCTCTTTGCTTTCATGGATAACGTTATCTTTGTCTCTACAGATGCCTCAATGCACCCCCCCCCCCCCCACCTTTTTTTTATGAACAAACCGGCCTATCCCACCAAGGCAGGAGTGCCCAAAAAGAAAAATGAAAGTTTCTCATTTTAAATTTAGTAATCTATATGGGGAGCAGGGGTTACTAGAACCTTGCTCCGGCATGTTTGTTGCCTCGTTACAACACGCATGGTTTAAGGGAGGAAGAATTCTATTCCACTTCCCCATGGAGATAAGAGGAAATAAACAAAGAACAAACAATACATAGAAAGAAAATAGAAGGAAAACACAGAGGGGTGTGGTATATATATATATATAATTTTTTTTTTCAACAAGTCGGTGTCTCCACGAGGCAGGGTGACCAAAACAGAAAGAGAATCCCATAAAAAGAAATAATACTTTATTCATCATCAACACGTTCACCACACTCACACATTATCACTGCGCTTTTGCAAGAGGTTGCTCAGAATACAAAACAGTTTGAAGCTTATAGTATAAGATACACAACAATATCTCCAAATGCCATTATCCAACCACTCCTTTAAAGTGCAGGCTTTGTACTTCCCATTTCCAGGACTCTAAGTACGACTATATGAAAATAACGGTTTCCCTGAAATCCCTTCACTAAATATTCCTGCTCTCACTCCAACAGATGTCAGGTCCCAAGTATCATGCGTCTCCATTCACTCCTATCTAACACCTTAATGCAGGCTTGCTGGAATGTCCAAGGCCCCTCGCCCACAAAAACTCCTTTACCCCTCTTTCCAACCCTTCGAGGACGACCCTACCACTCTTTTCCTTCCCCTCTGATTTATATGCTTTCCAGGTCATTCTACTTTGATCCTTTCTCTCTAAATGACCAAACCACCTCAAAACCCTCTTCTGCCCTCTGACTAATTGCTTTTATTACTCCAGCACCTTCTCCGAATTTCCACACTCCGAATTTTCGGCATAAATATTTACACCACACATTGCCTTAGACAGGACAATTCCACTGCTTCAAACCGTCTCCTCGCTGCTGCATTTACCACCCAGCTTCACATCCATATAAGAGTGTTGGTACTACTATACTCTTCCATAATTCTTCTTTGCCTCCATAGATAACGTTTTTTTTGACTCCACATATACCTCAACGCACCACTTCACCTTTTTTCCCTCATCAATTCTATGATTATTAACCTCATCCTTCATAAATCCATCCGCCGACTCGTCAACTCCCCTAAGTATCTGAACACATTCCCTTCTTCCGTACTCCTCTCCCCAATTTGATATCCAATTTTTTTTTTTCAAAATCATTTAAACCCCTCATCACCTTACTCTTTTTATGTTCACTTTCAAACTTTCTCCCTTTTTACACACATTCTCAAACTCTCCACAACCTTTCAATTTTTTTTAGAACCCCATAAGCACAGTATCATCAAAAAAGTAACTGTGAAATTTCCCCATTTTGAATTTGTTTCCCCCCAAATTTAATCCCCCCCCCTCCCAAACCCCCTAGCATTTACTTTTTTACAACCCCCCTCTAAAAATATATTAAACAACCATGGGGCATTACACCCCCTGTCAAGACCTACTTTTACCCGGGAAGTATTCCCCTCTCTTCTACACACCCTAACCAGCCTCCTATCCTCATAAAAGCTCTTTACAGCATTTAGTAACTTCCCACCTTTTCCATAAACTTGCAACATCTCCACATTGCTCCTCTTCCACCATCAATGCCTTTTCTAAATTAAATGCAATAAAAATTCCCTATTTTACTAATACGTTCACATAATCTTCAATGAAAAACACTTATTAAAAACCCCTACCCCTTGAAGCCTCCGCTCATCCGCAATTCTACTTTGTCTTCCTCAAATTCTTTAATTAAAACCCTCCCGATATTTTTCCTGGTTACCAGTAAATTATTCCTCTATAATTTTTACAATCTCTTTTGTCCCCTTTCCCTTTATATAAAGGGACTATACATGCTCTCTGCCAATCCCTAGGTACCTTCCCCTCTTTCATACATTTATTAAAACAAAAGTACCAACCACTCCAACACTATATCCCCCCCCTGCTTTTAACATTTCTGTCATGATCCCATCAGTTCCAGGTGCTTTACCCCCTTTCATTCTACGTAATGCCTCACGTACCTCCACCACACTTACATTCTGCTCTTCTTCACTCCTAAAAGATGCTATACTCCCTGGCCAGTGCATGAAATTACCACCTCCCTTTCTTCCTCAACATTTAAAAGTTCCTCAAAATATATCTCGCCATCTACCTAATACCTCCCTCTCCCCATCTACTAACTCCCCTACTCTGTTTTTAACGAACAAATCCATACTTTCCCTAGGCTTTCTTAACTTGTTTTAACTCACTCCAAAATTTTTTCTTATTTTCATCAAAATTTCTTGACAGTGCCTCTCCCTCTTTCATCTGCTCTCCTTTTGCACTCTCTCACCACTCTCTTCACCTTTCTTTTACTCTCCATATACTCTGCTCTTCTTATAACACTTCTGCTTTGTAAAAACCTCTCGTAAGCTACCTTTTTCTCTTTTATCACACCCTTTACTTCATCATTCCACCAATCACTCCTCTTTCCTCCTGCCCCCACCCTCCTATTGGAAAATGGTAAAACTGAAGGGGCCATGCAGCACCTGGGAAATAGGAGGTAATCAGGTTTTATCTGAAGTAGAGGAGAATAGTTCTAATTTCTTAGATCTTGGTTAATAGCACGTCACCAAGATTAACCCTTTCAAGGTCGGTCCCATTGTTCTACAGCTTTGAAGTCAGTGTCAGTCCCATAGTACTATGCCATGAGCCCAGCTCACTCAGATAAGCTGTGAGCGGTAAGTTTGGGCCTAAATATGAGAGAATGGGTCTGTGAGGTAAGTTTGCACCATTTAAAAAAAATCCTGCAGAAAGCAGTGCATAATGAAAAAACTGCAACCGTGTGATTTTGGTTTAAAACAGCAACTTTGCAGTGTATTTTTGTATGGTTTTTAATGTTGTATTATCGGAACCTTGGTCTCATTTAATAGAATGGATGATATCTTAAAGAAATAGAGGCAATTTTAATTGGTTTCAGGACTGAAAGTAGCTTGAAATTGAGCTCAAAGTAGTGGAAATGTTCGATTTTTGCTGATATTCTAGAGCACACAAATGATGTCATTCGTCCAATACTTGTCCATCTGGCCACTTTCGCCTTGCATTTATAATGCCTAAACATTTTTTAAATTAAAATTTAATTACAATATTTCATACTGCTTAGCAGTAAGTTTCTGTTTGGAAAAAGGACACAAGGGTGAAACTAATGTAATTTTTATTGTGGAAAACTTTTTCTTTCCCCCCCGGAGTTTTTGTAAAAGCTTTTTACAAACAATATATGGCCCACAGGGGGTATATATGGGCTTTGGTGGGGGTGTAGTAGTACTTGAAAATACGTGGGGGTAGTACATAGTGGGGGAACCTCCACTGTTTTACACTTTGCATCTCACTCGAAGCCTATAAAAAAATTGCCCTTTGTATTGTTTGTAACGGTTTGACAAAGCCCCGGGGGATGAAACATTGTCACATTTAAAAATGTCACATTAGTTGCACTTGGCCCCTTTTTAAACCTGCCCAATTTGGAAATTTCCCTACTAACATTGTACAGTTTTAAAAAAAATTAAAAAATGGAAAGCAACTGAAAATATAGGAGGGGGCCGGGGGGACATGACTAATAAACGGGGGGAGGAAATGTTATTTTGGGTCCCGGGAAATTTTCCTTCATTGTTTATTTTGGACCGTATTTTGAAAAATTGGGCCCATTTCTTGAATTTTTTTGTAAAAAATTGGGCCAAATTCCCAAATTTTTATGATCACTTTATTGGGTTTTTTAAAAATATTGGAATAAGCAGTTTCTTGTACTAAAAATCGAAAAGAGGGGAAAGGGACAAACGGGCAAAAAAGCTAAAAATTTTGGGTTCAACGGGAACCCAATGGAATTGGCCTAAAATCGGACTAAAAAGAAACCCAAAAATCCCGATCCCAAAAATACCCTTAACACAGCAAAATTTTCACAAAAGGAAAATTTTTTTTGTCAGTTTTCCATCAAATTTGGGTTTTTTTTTATTTTATTACCCCCAAAAAAAAGATTCCTACCTTTTCTTTTTTTTTGGGGGGGGGGGGGGTCCTGAGGGGAAAGTTGAAAGTGGGGGGTTGCAACCCTAAAAAGGGTTAAGGTATTTTTAAGGAGGAGACATCAACTGTACAGAGTGAGCCCAGTAAATAAA